AATAAAAGTTTTTGAATTGAAAAACATATATGCAAATATAAAGCAAACAATAACATCATTGCTCACCTTTCACCTTTCAGTGGCAGGTGATGACAAAACTGGAAGGCAACAGCTTTGACTTAAAGATTAACAGAGACACAAAAAGTCGTGTTTTAGTCTGTTTTGCAGTGAGATGAGAGTGGCATGCATTCTTCATGTTTGTTCAAGGACAACATATTAGGCTGGAAATCGGCTGCCTCCATCATGACATTCCCCGCACATGGCTTTTCTGTTCACACATGCATGAAAAGTCAAACTACCCTAAACCTAGGACGGGGCTTTCTATTCATGTTGTTCCTTCTTACGCTGGATCTCGCCTCGCTTTGATCTTCACCTTAACCTTACCCCTCGCTGGTCTGACCTAAAATAAATTGTAATTTTTAATCCAAACCAAAGCTTCGCCCTTTGAAGTGCCAACAACCTGCAAGAATGACCTCATCCTGCAGCGGTTCTGACACACTTGCACTCTCGTGCAGAACAAGTAGTCTAATTTGCCCTCGTCGTAAAGATGAACGAGCAGGAGGAGGACTCTGCCATAACGTTTGCTTCATATTGTACAGCTTCGTATTCCTACTCCAGCTCATTTGCTTCAGTCCTCTTCTTGCTGCTCCTCCACAGTTTGCCCTTCTTATCTCTTATCTGCCAGACTAGAAGGTAAAGATCAATAAGACTTCAGTATGAAACAGACACTTTAAAACAGCAAAGACTCAGACTTCAGTTGACCTGCTGTCAGTCAATGAATCAGCCAGGACAAAAAGCAGTTGCTGGGAAGATGGATGGACATGGCTAAAACGTGACATGGATTTAGCATGTCTGGCTTTTTAAAGCGGCTTCAGCACTTGAAGAGGAGGACCATTCACCTCAACCTTTTAATGCTCCTCTTCACACATAAAGTGCAATGATGATGACCTCGACCCCAGTGAGGAGTGTGTGGTTCCAAAAACCGTTTTAAACAACCCTGTGTCAAAACCTCTACATGTTTCTATCACACCGTTCTGTTGAAATTCCTTTACATGAGACAACAGACACTGTGTGGGGTTTTCTCCAGTCAGATGCACTTTAGCACAGAGTGGACTTCCCTTTTCTCTACCTGTTACTGTAAGCTGTCAGTCAGCTGAATGATGGCGAAACAGAGAGGAGGCATGATCTTTTCCCTTTATTGTTAAAAAAAGTTTTGTTTTGCAAAAAACACAGTCAGTAGTTGTGTTTCCATTGCAAATGTGTGCAAAACTTTGTTGATATTCTGTTAATGTCAAAAAAACAGTTTCGCAATTGTGGTGTTTCGATCAAGTAAGAAATGCAATTAAAGTCACGCATGAATACGCTTGTTGTCATGATAAGTCATTACAAACATGGCGGCAACGGATGTAAACACATAGCATATTGCTACCACGACACTAGCGCTCATCATCAGAGGAGACGTCAAGCGTCTTATCGAGGCTTTCCAGCAACAAGCCCCTTAGGAGCGGCTACGTATGCTGTGTTTCTGGGAAATTGCAGTCGGTGAGTTTACTACTTTTATTTACTACTTCCRTGATTTTACTACTACCATACTTTTATTTCCTGTTATGTTCTTCATCGCCGTCTTTTTCGCCAGTAGAAACAGCCGGTTCTTGATCATGTGACTCCCGTGATGCGAAAAAAAGTATTTCGACATGGCCGAAAAACCACCTCATCCTAGAGCAAAACCATTTTGTCGAAAAATGCAATTTTTCCTAAATTAATGTATTTCCATTATTTTCCCAAAATTCTAATTTGTTCATTTGCATGGTCAATAGAAACGCAGCTACTGTTTGGCTATCACTTACCACTTTTGTTTTTAAAGGTAGCACTGTTTTAAAGTCTATCCTTGTGAATAAAAATCGAGATTTCAATATTTATCTTCCAAAGCAAAAAATCACTTTATGAACATCTGATTTTAAACAGTGTCAACACAGCCACTAGAGTTCTCTTGATCTTGTCTATTTATGCATCACAATAGAAATAACTACAAATGAGCATTGTTAAAATTATGGCCATTTTTATAAGATTGTTTGCTATGTATTTAAGCAGTATTAATAAAAAAAATCACAATTCTGTTTTTAAATAAAAGAAAATTATATTAAGCAAACTAATTCTTTTTCGTTGTCTGCTGTTTGTCTGTAATGCAAAACTGGTCGAAAGTTAATGAGACCTTCAGAAAGTTATCTTTGGAGTTAAATCTACAATTGTTTAAAATTTTCTTGTCAACCCAATCCAAGATKTAAGGTGTTTAGATAAACTATGATGTAAAGTTATTATTATTATTAAAATTGGCATAAAATGTGTCAGGCAATATGCATGCTTTTGAAAAAAATGCTAAGCTTTTAACTAAATTTTTGCTTGAAGCTGTTGTATTCTTGTGTGGCTTTACCTTCTTGAAGAGGCGTCCCGAGTCCTCGCTGATCTGTGCGAACCGGGGGATGATGTTGTTGAGGTAGAGGTCGGACAGGGTTGCGTGGTCGCGGCTCTCCCTCTTCACCTGAAGCAGCAGCAGGTTCCAGCAGTTCACTGGAGATAGGATGGTCTGCTCCTTCCTGCACACAGAGAGGGAGAGATTTAAAACATTTTGTTTGTATTGGAGTGCAAGTCTTTTTGAACAATTATTTTCTGACTTTTTTTCCTGCTATAACCACCTTTTTATAAAGGCAGGTTGCACACACAGGTACAAAAACACGCTCTCAAATCATGTCAGAAAGAGAAATACTATAACTTCCAGACAGATTTCAGTGCAAACCAGAACTCTTTTTTTTTTTTTTCACTCACAACCCAACCACAGAGGGTATGATAGCCAGCCTAAACACAGGATTCATCCAGGCTGCAAAAAACCTGCAGGAAGAGGTAAGCCTCCCTCTAAAACACAGCTGTTTTGCAAAAAAAAAGAAAAAAAAGAGAAAAAAAAGAAAAAAGAAAAAGAGATCTGAACACTGCAAACAATAAAATAGTTTAATCTTGCTGTACTGACTTTGTTTTAAGTCATCATAAATCCATTACAAATATGCTAAGTGGTTAGATGGCACCACAACTGTTTTTACAGAGGGAACACACACACACACAGCTTGATTGGGTAAGTGTGTGTTTACAACAAGAGTTATGAGTGATCTACAGATGATCTAGTGGTTAAAATGGATTATGAGTGAGTGTAAGTGGATGAAAGATGGCCTTTGTGTCGTAGAGAGCAGATTTAACTGGATGAAGAGAGAAAGAGCTACAAGGCATTTACATCACACACACACACACATCCTTGTACTTACATCAAACTGAGGACTTTGCATTGACTTCCATTCATTTTTGTAACTGTATTTATGCCTAACCCAGACATTTTCCCTAAAACTAACCATTACTAGTCTATTCCTAACCTTAACCTGTACCAAAACTTAATTCACACCATACCTCTAACTAACTAGTAAAGCAGAGTAGAGCTGCAAATAAAGTGAGGACCAGGACAACATCAAAGACCTCGCTTTGATAGTATCAAATTTGCAAGTGGTCCTTACTCTGTAGTAGAAACAAACACACACACACACACACACACACACACA